GGGGGGTATGGGGATTGGGGATAATAGGTCTGGCCAACCTGTATCTACAATTTACCCACGTTCAAGAAGGTGTGAGGAATCCGTGGTGTTTCATAGTCAAAAATGTTGTAGATGAAGAATATGCCTTTTGCATGGAGTATGACAAGACTTGTTCAAAGCATTTTGTAGTTGGTACAGTATTCAGGGAGAAAAACACCCCGCTCTGCTAGGATAGGCGTGAGAGGCTGAGTGCTCTCAAGAAGGTGTCTGGCTTTTGCAGGGCTCACTGTGAGCCTGCACACAGGACTGAGGAGGACAGTTAAAGGTTTTGATCTACGGATGGAGTATTGGAAGAATGTGGCACACCTCATAATTCTGCGGAGAGCACAGATCCCGAGTTGACTGTGGAGTAACTTCGTGAGAGTGGTGGTGATCTGCAGCATCCTGCTAACCAGATTCCTTTCCTTTATTAAGTTCTGGGGGTGATTTCTATGCCTTTGTCCTAACAGCTTGGATTTCCAAGGGGTGGGATTTTTTATTATTATTTTTTATAGTTATTTTAATCACCATACATTACGTCATTAGTTTTTGATATAGTGTTCCATGATTCATTGTTTGTGCATAAAACCCAGTGCTCCACGCAGAACATGCCCTCTTTAATACCCAACCCCAGGCTAACCCATCCCCCCACTCTCCTCCCCTCTAGAACCCTCAGTTTGTTTTTCAGAGTCCATCGTCTCTCATGGTTCATCTCCCCCTCCGATTTACTCCCCTTCATTCTTCCCCTCCGGCTATCTTCTTTTTTTCTTAACATATATTGCATTATTTTTTTCAGAGGTACAGATCTGTGATTCAACAGTCTTGCACAATTCACAGCACTCATCATAGCACATACCATATCCAATGTCTATCACCCAGCCACCCCCTCCCTCCCACCCCCGACCACTCCAGCAACCCTCAGTTTGTTTCCTGAGATTAAGAATCCCTCATATCGGTGAGGTCATATGATACATGTCTTTCTCTGATTGACTTATTTCACTCAGCATAACACCCTCCAGTTCCATCCACACCTTGTTAATCGGAGTACACCCTCTCTCATGCTTGGTCTCCCCTCCGATTTCCCCCCTTTCATTCTTCCCCTCCTGCTATCTTCTTTTTATTTTTTCTTAACTTATATTGCATTATTTTTTTCAGAAGTACAGATCTGTTATTCAACAGTTTTGCACAATTCACAGCACTCACCATAGCACATACCCTATGCAATGTCTATCACCCAGCCACCCCGTCCCCCCCCACCCCCCCCCCCCCCAGCAACCCCCAGTATCCTGAGATTAAGAATTCCTCATATCAGTGAGGTCATATGATACATGACTATCTCTGATTGACTTATTTCACTCAGCATAACACCCTCCAGTTCTATCCACGTCATTGCAAAAGGCAAGATCGCATTCCTTTTGATGGCTGCTTAATATTCCATTGTGTATATATACCACATCTTCTTTATCCATTCATCTGTCGATGGTCATCTTGGCTCTTTCCACAGTTTGGCTATTGTGGACATTGCTGCTATAAACATTGGGGTGCACACCCCTTCGGATCCCTACATTTCTATCTTTATGGTAAATACCCAGTAGTGCAATTGCTGGATCTCCCTTGGGTGGGCAGAGTGGCGGGCCCTGATCCTGCTGGGCTTCACGCTGAGGATGCAGAGGGAGGACTGAGGGACCCTGGACCCCCGCCCAGCGTCAGTCTGGGAAGGTCCGTGGCGGGGGGGGGTTGATGGGAACACGTGGTGAGTCCTGACTTCCGCATCCGGGTCTCAAAGATGCTGGATGCCTTGGCAGAAGGAGTAGGGCCTCCGTCTTTGGGCAGAGGGGAGACATCAGGTCCAGCTGGGCTTTACGGTGAGGATGCACAGGGAGGATTGAGGGACCCTGGACCCCAGCACAGCGTCAGTCAGGGAAGGTCCATTGGGGGCAGGGGGGCTGATTGTAACACGTGGTGAGTCTGGACTTCTGAGTCCGGGTCTCAGAGAGACTGAGGTGAGGGCCTGATGAAAGGAGCAGATGCTCAGGTGGGCAGAGGGGAGGGCCCTGGTCACCCAGTGCTGGGGGTTGGCTTGGGGAGGCCAGGGATAAACCCTGCAGGAGGACAGAGGGGAGCCCCGCAAAAGCCCACCCATGATGTCAGTCTAGGGAGCCCCCCCCGGGCGTGATGGGGACCCGTGGCCAGTGCGGCGGACTTCTGCATCTGGGTCTCCCAAGAACCTGGGGTCCTTGGTGGATCGAAGGAGCAGGGCCTCCCTCAGGGGGGCAGAGGGGCAAGCCCAAGTCCTGTTGGGATTTACGCTGAAGTTGCAGAGGGAGGACTGAGAGACACTGGACCCCAGCCCAGAGTCAGTCACTAGAGGCCTGAGTGGAGGACGGGGACACCCCGATTGTGTACGTGCATGAGCTTGTGTGTCCCCCACTTGCCCATCCAGGTGTCCCCAACACGGGATGCCCCGGTGCCCAGGAGCCGATCCGCAGGCAGTAGGGACAGGCAGAGGTATAGGCACCCAGGGAGTCCTGGTGGAGATCAAAAGAAGGCCCGAGAGACCTGGATGCCCCATCTCAGCCTTGGGATGCCCTAGGCTTCGTGGCCGCACGTGTTGGTCACAGATTTAACCCGGTGGGTTCAGGGCAGGGAGGGCCTTGGTGATGGCAGACCAGCTAGGGGACAGCAGACGGAGGGGCCTAGGACCTGCCAGGGCTCGAAGCGAGGACCCCCCAAGGGACTCCCCAGGGAGCCCGCAGGACTGCGGCCCTGATTCAGCCACGGGAGACTCCTGGGATGGAAAAGCCCACACAGTGCGTGGCCACTTTGGCCTCAGGGCCTCCGAGAACTCCTGGCCGTTTGGATGGAGCACTGCCCGAGTATGCGTGTGGGGGGCGGTGGCCTTCGTGTTGCTGGGTGGAAATGCGAGGACCAGAAGGAGGACTGCGGGATTGGGGACAGTGAACAGATTCGGTCCCAGGAGGCCCCGGGGCCAGATGGTCACCTAGGGCGTGCCCTGACTTCCCAGCCAGGTCTCCTAGAGCCTGGGGTCTGGGTGAAAGAAGCAGGCTTCAGGGCCCCCCAGGCTGAGCCCGGTCCTGCCAGGATGGAAGGGGAGGACCAGAGGGAGGACTGAATGGGCCGCAGTACGGACAGGCCATGGAGGAGGACCCTTGTGGATGATTAGCCCATGCCTCCTGTCTGGGGGTCCACATCTGGCTGTTAGAGCCTGAGGGCCTGTGGTGAGAATGAGCGGGCCTGGGGTGGGGCGGGCCTGTGTGTGTGTGAGGGTGGAGTGCGGGGGCGGGGGTGGCGGGGCACGGGTCCGGTTGGGATTCAGGGTGAGGACCCTGGGGGAGGACTGGCCGTACCCCCTCCACCCCATCTCAGCAAGGAAGCCAGGGCACCGGAATCTGGCCGGACCCGATCATGGGAGGATCGGTCAGTGGGGGCCCATCCTGGCACGCATGCTCACTTGTCTCATGGGCCAGAAGGCGGGAGTCCTTGGGGAGCTGAGGTCTTGGTCTGAGGGGCACATGGCTTCTGTCTCACGTTGGGGACCTGGAAGAAGGGCAGGCCCTGGCAGGAAGAAAGAAGATTAGCGTCCTGGGGGCCTGAGGGCATCCCCACCCCAGGACAGAGGGGCCCGTCCCTACTACCAGCCCTTTGGGATCTTGCCGGGGGCTGAGGGGGGACATGGAGACGTGGCCGTTGATGAGGACGTGCTGGCTCCTCACCCTCTTCTCAGAGCTCTCAGGGAGGTGAGGACCACGCTGGGAGAGGTCGCGGTCAGGTCATCTGGGAAGCACAGCTGGGAAACACACAGGAGTCCCTCCTCCTGCCAAGAATCAGTGTGGGGACACCGGAGGGAGGAGTGAGTAACTCTCCACCCACCCCTCGGGACCAGGAAGGGATGGCCCAGAAGTCTGTGCAGCCCCTACCTAGAGGCCCTGGGAAAGCTGGGTGGGGCCTGTCAGGCTGCGTCCCTCCTCCTCTCCAGATCCTTCCTCTCAGGATGGAGAGGGCCCGGGCCTGAGGGTCTGGACTCGGGTAGCAGAGGAGGCAGGTGCCCTGGCTCTGGGTCTGGCCCTGATGGTGGGGGGCAGATGAGAAATGAGGGGATGCATCCCACAGCAAGATCCATAGGGCCCAAGCCTACCCTGACGCTGCTGCCTGCCATGGGGAGACGGGTGATCGGTGGGCCAAGTTATTTCTCCTGACTTTTGGGCGCCTGGGTGGCTCAGATGGTTAAGCGTCTGCCTTCGGCTCAGGTCATGATCCCAGGGTCCTGGGATCGAGTCCCGCATCGGGCTACCTGCTCCTTGGGAGGTGCTTCTCCCTCTGCTTCTCTCTCTCTCTCTCTCCCTCTCTTTCTCTCCTCCTCTGTCTCTCATGAATAAATAAATAAAATCTTTTAAAAAATTATTGTATTTCTCCTGACTTTTCCTTCTGGCGTCTCCCAGAGATGAGGCCTTGGCACCTGAAGGGTGGCCTCCGGTCAACACAGAGAGTTTTCCCAGGCCTTCCGTGGGGTCAAGGTATAGACGGAGAGGTGCGCCCATCCCAGCACAGACGGCACCCGAGCTTGGTCGTCCCTGGGAACCCGAGACAAGCCCTTAGACCTCTGGCAGGCGTGGGCAGAGGTGGGCCCCCTCGCTTACCTTCTGTGGGGTCTCAGGGCTGCACGGTCTTGCTGTGACCCTGTGGCCTCAGGCTGCAGAGGCCCAGGCCCTGCCAGGGGAAATAGCAGTCCCCTGAGGGGCCAAGGAGGGGACCGCCCAGCTTGGACGGATGCGGACCTCACAGAGTCTGCCCCAGCCCTCCTGCCCCACTGGGGGCCGGGGGCTGTGCTCTGTGTCTGCACCCCAAAGTGACTCCTCCTTTTCTCCTCCAGGGGCTTCCAGAATTCAGAGTCGAGGCCTAGGTCTGAGGCAGGAGCCTCTAAGTTCCCACAGCAGGGGAGGTGCAGGTGAGTGCCAGTGGTCAAGGTGAGGTACTTGCTCTGAGCGTGGAGCCAGGGGCTCGCCCGTCCCACCCCAGAGGGGACCCCTCAGCACCCAAGTCCGACGCAGCGCACTGTCAGCTCCAAGACTTCAGGCCTCTGCTGCATGGGCTGCACCCTGAGGAGCCATCCCAACTCTTTCTTCAGGTTCAGCCCGACACAAACACCATGCCCCTGGGTCAGAGGAGTGAGGTCTGGAAGCTGGAGGAAGACCCAGGCCTGGCCCAGGGCCTAGTGGAGGCACAGCTGTTGGGGGCTGTGGAGGAGAAGGTTCCCCGCACCCCCTCCTCCTTCTCCACCTTGGCCTCCTCCCAGTCCGCCGCCCCATCGGGCCCCTGCTCTGCACTCTTTCTGGTCCCCTCGGAGAGGGGGTCTGCTGCTGGGTTCCAGAGTCGTCCCCAGAGCTCTCTGAGTGCCAGCCCCTCCCCCACTGCTCGGGCAGCCACTGCCTGCAGCCAGCCTGACCAGGGCTCCAGCAGCTCCGATGAGGAGGGGTCCAGCCCCTGCGAGGAGCTTAAGGAAGCCCAGCCGGGGCTCCAAAACATAATCCAGGGGAAGCTGGCCGAGCTGGTGGAGTTCCTGCTCCTCAAGTATCACATCAAGGAGCCGACCAGCCAGGCAGAGATGCTGGAGATCGTCGGCCAGGATGCCCTGGATGCCTTCCCAGTGATCTTGGGCCAGGCCTCTGAGTGCTTGCAACTGGTCTTTGGTATGGATATGAGGGAAGTGGACCCCAGCGGCCACTCTTACATCCTGGTCCCCATCCTGGGCCTCACCTATGATGGGATGATGAGCGGTGAGCAGGGAGTGCCCAAGACCGGCCTCCTGGGGGTGAGCCTCCTGCATGGTGACCGTGTCCCTGAGGAGGTGGTGTGGGAAATGCTGGGTGTCATGGGGGTGTATGCCGGCCAGGAGCACGTCATCTACGGGGAGCCTAGGGAGTTCTTCACCAAGGTTTTGGTGCAGGAAGTGTACGTGGAGTACCGGCAGGTGCCCGGCAGTGACCTGCCTGCTATGAGGTCCCGTGGGGTTCCAGGGCCCACGCCGAAACCAGCAAGTTGCAAATGCTGGAGTATTTGCTCCGGGTCAGGTGCGCGCAGCTGGCTTCCTCCCTGGCCCTGTCTGAAGCGGCTGTGAGAGATGAGGAAGAGGGGGCCTGAGCCCTGGGGTCCGCCAGGCCCTTTCCAGGCTTTGCTGGGTTCGGCAGTCTCTCCTGCGGGGTGCTGGGCATGAAGTGAGGCTGCTTGCTGGTTCTTCCCTGTGTGTGTGTTTGTGTGTGCTCATGAAGACAGAGCCCTGAGCATTTTAAGGAGTGCAGGGACAGGAAGAGTTGGGAGAAGAAAGCAGGGCAAGGAGCCTCGTGGGGGTGGGGGGGTTGTTTCCTGGGATGACTCCCACATCCAGAGCTTGGTGTCCTTGAGGATGCTCTCCTGTGGGGTTCCTTGCCATAGAAGGTTTCAGCAGCTTCAGGGGCTGATTGTGTGAGTACCATCCACTTTGCAGCATTTGTTCTTACCCAGTCCAAGAGTTAAGAGTTTTATCATGTTCTTGGGGTGCCTGGGTCCTCTGTTGGTTAAGCATCTGCCATCGGCTCAGGTCAGGATCTCAGGATCCTGGGATCACACCCCACATGGGGCTCCCCGCTCAGTGGAGACTCTGCTTCTCTCTCTCCCCCTGTGTGTGCTTTCTCTTTCTCAAATAAATAAATACCTTTAAGAAAAAGTTTTTTTTCATGCCCTGGACACCAGCCTGGACACCTTGCCTACTTGTTTGGGCTCTGGACTGAAATCACAGGGCATTGGTCTAGGGATGGGTTGGAAAGGCGCAAAAATGGAAGAAGCAGGGGACGGGGGTCAGAAGCTGAAGAGATAGAAGTTTGCTGGTTCTTGCTTCTGATGCCTTCCCGACCATCGTTGTGCAAATGCCAAAGGCAAACACGCGCACACACGTGTGGGGACAGGGGCAGGAGGGCCCAGGTTCTGTCAGGAGTCGAGGTGAGGACCAGAGGGAGGAATGAAGGACCCTGGACCCAGTAGAGAATCAGTCCTGGGAGGCCTCTGAGTGAGACAACGGTGACATGAGGCGTGTTCTGACTTCTGCTCTGGGTCCCAGAGACACTGAGCGCTTGTTGTGAGGAGTGGCCCTCAGGAGCAGGGATGAGGGCACCGGCCATCCAGGGAGTCCAAACGGGGAACAGAGGGTAGGGGTAAGGGACCTGAAGGACCTATCTCGGGGAATCCCTGGACTTTGTAGTCTGATGCGACGTCCACAGTCTTTGCCCGTGGCTCTCAGGGCAATGAGGGCTTTGGTCTGAGGGAACGGGCCTGGAGAGAGCAGAGACAGG